ATTCCCTGGGATGTCCACGTCAGCGAAGCTCCGCGCAAAAGTGTGGCGTTGTTACCACGTCATGCTCATCCCAGGGAGCAAAGGCAGGGATTTCTCCCCCGTGTACCACGTGATGCCCATCCCGGGGAGCAAAGGGAGGGATTTCTCCCCCGTGTACCACGTGATGAGCATCCCAGGGAGTAAAGGGAGGGATTTCTCTCCCGTGTACCACGTGATTGCCAATCCCGGGGAGCAAAGGGAGGGATTTCTCCCTGTGTACCACGTGATGAGCATCCCAGGGAGTAAAGGGAGGGATTTCTCTCTCGTGTACCACGTGATTGCCCATCCCGGGGAGCAAAGGGAGGGATTTCTCCCCGTGTACCACTTGATGAGCATCCCAGGGAGTAAAGGGAGGGATTTCCCTCCCGTGTACCACGTGATTGCCCATCCCGGGGAGCAAAGGGAGGAATTTCTCCCCGTGTACCACGTGATGAGCATCCCAGGGAGTAAAGGGAGGAATTTCTCTCCCGTGTACCACGTGATGCCGATCCCGGGGAGCAAAGGGAGGGATTTCTCCCCCGTGTGAATAAACCTTTAGCTGCGATTGCTCACAAAAATTTCAAGGCGTTACCACAGGTAGGAAGGTCGCGCTGGAGGCGGTGCTCCTAAACATTAAATCTCGTGTTGCAAAAGAGCTACTTTCAAAGTAGCGATTTAAAAAAAAATACGAAGAAATACAACAAAAAAAGGTGTACACGAACACCTTGGGTAAGTCGTCCTGCTCCTGTGTGTGACACCTAGAGTTTTTATGTGGGGTGATGCCATCATCTTACTACGCCGTCGGTTAGAGGCCGTCCACCTTTTTCTGCGAATCAATTCCGCCGAAATCTGGAGGGACGAAAAACAAACACCAAGGAATCAAACATCAAGAACAAAAATAACTAGAACAAAAACTGGAATTCACTGGAAAATGATATTGCTATCCCTTTTTTCAATTGATCATTATACTGCTGCACATTTTCGGTAAAAGCTTTTGTGTGATCCTGTTTTTTTTTTTCTTTTTTCTCTATATGTTAAAAGTGTACAAGCCGCCTGTACTGTTCAATAAATAAATATAAACCTGCAGCGTGAGTAAAGTGAAACGAACACCGCTGAAACCTAGCGAACGAAATACAACAATGCGAAATATAACTTCGCAGCTAAATTGTTTCTGATAAATAAAAACAAAATAAATAAAAGTAAACGTCGCGAATAGTCGGAGAACGCCATCGGCCCGCGAGAACGCAGGAAGCTTTTTTTTTTTTCCCCCTGCGGCGCCATTATCGCGTCAAAGCCGCCGCCTCCTGATGAGGAAACAGCTGGCGGCCGATCCGCTATGCCCCGTTCAACCCCCCAAGCCGAAAAGCGGGTTGGAAGCTACGCTCTTTTGGACCAATCACAGGTCTACCTGTTACCACGTGACACGCGCTTCCCGCCCGTGCGGCGCAGAAGGAAATGCAGGGTCAGGTGACGAACTGGAAGGTGGTTGTTTTTCGTGCGGCAGCGATCGCGGAGGTCCCAACGCACTGTCAGCTCGGGGGAGCTTGGAACGTTGCCTCAGGAACGGATAATCCGCGCTGCTCTCTCTCTCTTAGCGTCCGTCTCGTGCGCGGCGGTGAGCCCGGTGTTTACGCTGTCCAACGCAGATTTGTTCGTTGGCCGCGGCTTCATCGGCGACGGCACTCGACGTGCGGCTGCTCTTGTTGCTGCTGCGGTTCTGGCCTCTGGGGTTCGAGGGGGCCAGATGTTGAGCGCGTAGTCTTTTGGCTATACCGCGCGGGTAATGCGCTCTCTTTGCTCGCAGTGTAAACAGACCTGTGACGCGGAGCGAGACGCGGGAGACCGCGCACAACCGCTGACAGCTAGGCGATGGGTAGAGAGAGAGAGAGAGAGTGAGTTTGGATGAGGAGGCGAGAAATATATGGTATTCGTTATTTTGTTTTTGTTGTTGTTGTTATTGTTCGTTGACGCTGTATGATGGGATACGTAAAAAAAGTAAATTTTCGAAAGCTTTTTTTTTTTTTTTTCGGTGAGTGTAAAAAACAGTTTTCCTCGATTCTTCGTGTAAAGTTGAGAAACACGGAATGCGTTGTGACATTCTTGTTTTCTTTGAGTTTTTTTTTTTTTGTATGGGGTTAACAACCCTGTTTTTGGGCACTTAAAAACGCGTTCAGAACGATCTCCTTTAAAGAGTCGGCGAGTCAGCTCGCGATCTCGATCCTGCTCGTGCCCGTCGGCGTGGTCAGGTTCGCCGATACTCTGAAGGAGTTCCTCCGCTATACCAGGCGTGTATTGGCCTCTTGCTTCATTGTATGGAAGGTGAAGACGCACGCAACGCATTCCACGTCTCCTTAGGTTCTTGCGAAATATGGAGGTAAGTTGCGAAGTTTTCCTCGCAGATTCACGATTTGAATGATTTATAACATTTTATTCACACGGCGCCTTCGGGCCCGCTTTCATAAGCAGCTGCCTGTCTGACGTGACGTTAAGTGACATGACGTACGTGTGAACGCAACCAAGACGTCCCGTGAAGTCTCGCGAGGTCTGACGACGTGCTCATGTGCACGTGACCTCACGAAAAGCCACATGACGTGCTCGTTTGACCCTGATTACGTCACTTGGATCATGTGACGTGATCGGCTGTTTCTGGCGAATCACGTGACATATCGGGTGGCTTCGTGTTCACGTCGCTCTAACGTGCGTGATAATGTGACTTTTGCTTACGTTATAACGTAACATTACGTGACGTCTCTTGACAATGCGGTGACAAATGTGTCTGCGTGTACACGGCACCTAGGACGACACTAATCGAAGCTTCTACGCTGGTGCGGGGATAGATCATCAGACTACAAAGTAAAGGGTCCGGGGGGGGGGGGGGGGGGGGGGGGGGGCGCGCCTCGGGAAAACGATCTGGAGTAAATTCATAGCGAAGATTCTGACTTTCTAATTGGCCGATTTCAGCAAGCAAATAGCCGCTCTTTTCGGCAGCTCTTTGCTGCAGCGCCCCTTCGTAGCCTCTTACTGGTTTTTGTGGGAGATAATGATAATAAAATTACTATTTATTTCGGCTCAGGTCCCACCGACGGCTGACAGACTCTTTTATCCCTATCAGACGACACCATCCTGTCATATCATTTTCGCGCAATCAGGTTCCACGACACGAGTGTCAAAAGAGCGCCAATTTTAGGCCACGCGGTGGTTTTGTTCTTGTCGCCCAAACTGCTGTCTATCTCCAATATCGCACGTCATGGTGTTGCGAGCGTTCTTGGTTTGTCGCATTCAGGTTGTAAAAGGGGTAGGTGGGGGAGACGACCACTGAAACCTGCAACAGCGATGCGAGAGGAGTGTGCTCTCCTGGCGGCTTCCGCTCGGCAGGTGCCTCCGCCCTGCGATAGATGGCGCGGCGGTATAGGGAATGGCGATGGGCTCGTTTTGTATGGAACTCTGCGAGAGAACGCACCGGGTGATCGATGGTCTTTATTTCAAAGTAGAATTTACTAAATCCTGGCAAAATAAAGTGACCACACGATTATCTATAGACATCTTTTTCTTAATTTTAATCTGCTTTCCAAGCCGCGTGAGCGGCTGGCAACGTGAAGTCATCGTCATCAACATCATCTACATCGTCATCATCATCATTTAATATTAGTTGAAGGCCCGGGGGGCAATATACAAGGAAGTGATCACTTCAAAAAAGAAACAAACAACAAAACTATTTATCAACAAAAACACGCTGCAATCTGGTTATAAGGTAGAAAAAATAAGGTAATGGCGGCAGAAATTTTCTTAGTGTCAGATAAGGAAAAAATTACGTCAGACAGTGAGTTCCAGTCGTCAATGGCCAATGGTAAAGTAGACATTCGGTAAGTGACGGTTGACGATGAAATCGGACGGAGCTTACAAGAATGGCCGAGACGAGGGAAAATGCGGCAAGGAGGCGACAGCAAACTTTGTCTGAGATGACTGTTCTAATAAAAGATCCGGTGAAGAAGAGGAAGGCGAGATACCCTGCGGAGGTGAGAAAGTGTGTCAAGGTTAGCTGATTGGCGAAATCCTTATATGACAGCCTTTTCTGCTGCAGCGGCAAACTCGGGAAGAAGACGAATCGGGTTTTTTTTTTTTTAAATGTACATTGTTTCAAGATGGAAAAAACACTGATTAAATTTAAGTTGATTACTAATTTTATGGTATTCTGACAATGAGAAAAAAATACATGATTCTACAAGATTCAAGTTAACGAATTTTACGGCATCCAAACTAGATGTCAAAATCTCCCGATGTTACACTATTCGACATATGAAATTTCGCAGTTTTCTATTTAAAAAGTTATTTACTTGACTTCTAGCGTGTCACAACAGATCTTGACATTGTTTTTTGTTTTGCTTTTTTGTGCAGGAAGAAGTCCCCAGGATATTGCCAGAGAAGCTGTCCAGCAGCAAGGTTTAGTCGACGTCTCGTGTTACAAGAAACAAGCACTTGGCCCAGCGACGCAATCTTTAGCGATATTCGACTGAATTTAATTAAGAAACCTTTACTGTCTCCGAGACCATGGACTGAAATTTGCTCGATAAGTCGTTCTCCGCTATAGGGGTTGCAAGGAATCAAGATGTCTACAAATGGCTCCAAAACCTTCGCATTTAGAGATCGCTTATTTGGAAGCGCCAGGAGGGACCCCTAGTTGTAGACGCTGTGTAACGTAATCGAACTTCGCGTTAATTGACTTAATCATGAAGAAAGGTACTGAGCGCGTTCTTGAACAATGTCTACAATGTACACACACACTTCTACTTTTAGGAAATGTAGAAACGATAAGTTTTTCACTGCCGGGCGAGGTTAATTCCCTGGCTCAGGAATAATTCTTCGCGCGGATTAAACCGACTTCACACCGAGCGAATAGGGATGCCGGTTCTTAATAATTTTAACTGATTGCTTAGATACCTGGTCAACTAGTGAGTCTGATAAGTCGTCAGTCGTTACGTAATCTCTGAAAAAAATGCGGCCGAAGTTATCATATCGGTACCTCCATGCTTACCCACAGTGATTTAAAACACCGTACGACGCTTCCGTTAATTGCTTGTCAGGAATTAAGACGAAAGTTAATTGCCTACAGAACTCCCATCAGGGAGTTCGCAGTCGCTTTCAGACGTGCCACTAACACGTCATCACTAGTGGTACTTTAAGTGTCTTGTACACAACGTTACCAGGACCTTCAACAAGGACTTGTCATCGGGGAGTTTGGAGTCGCTGTCAAATCCGCCGCCTCCAGGTCATCACAAACGGCTCTCTAAGTGTCTTGTAGACAACGTGACCAGTATCTTCGGTGAGGATTTATCATCAGGAAGTTTGCAGTCGTTTCTGGACGTGTCCCCTGCAGTTCGTCACGAATGGTACCGTCCTACGGACTCCTCCGGTCAGCGAGTGCCCAGACATGAAATCACTCACGCAAGAACAGCCGACGCGCTGGTTTCATCTTCAAACCCTCGTACTGTGTGGAGTCTTCTCCCTGGGGACTTGCCACAATTTCCTTAAGCCCTGCCGGGTTCCAGAGTCTCAAGAAAACCTGGCCGACGAAAGGCCAGAGATATCCATCGGCTTCCTGGGCACCTTCAATAACAGCAGGATGCTGGGAAAGATGGTGTCCGGCGCCGTACCCCTGGCTGTGTCGGACATCAACAAAGATGATCGGTGAGTAACCAGTAATTTTATGTGAGCATGTATTATAAAATGTAATAGCATTTCCAGGGCCACCGAACCGTAAGAGCCGTAAGAGTGTCACTTGACAGCCAAATTTAGCGGGAAAGATTTAATTGCTGTATGAATAACGCAGTGTCACATCATATGACGTTATCTGACACTGTGAAGTCACATTGTAACATAATGAGACGTTTATGAGGCGACCTCTACCAATGGGACACACAAAAGAGTGCGCAGGATGACCGCATGACCAAAGCTTATTGAACATGTAAACACAAAGTATTATAGATAAATTTATTCAACAGGCAAACGAATAAATTACTTTTACTTAAACCTAAAGAATTCCAAGTGCTATGAGCGCCTAGATGTTTTGGTAGCGCCCTCTTACGGCTCCTGTTTGTGGCGTAAAGACCGAGATTTGCCCTCGCCGTGACGTCACGAGTTGTAATCATAGCTACGTATCACCAGTTGCGAACTACAAACGTATGGAGTTATTGCATTCTCAAACCAACACCGTTAAAATTTGCAGACTCATATAGTTCTCATTCCCGTCGATGAAAGCAAAATTGCTCTAAATAACGACGTCATAGTGAACGTTTGGCCAATCGCGAATGCAGACCACAGCGATGCTTTTGGTCGCGCACGGCGCCAGTAACTTTACATTTCCTTTCTGAGGAACCAGAAAGAATGCGTTGTTTTATTTCATGCTTTCTTCCCCTTGGTTTGTGTGAATGACCTCATATCGTACTCAAAGTTCTGAAGTGGCCTACTCGCAGTACTGGATCGTTTTCCTTTGTAAACTAGATAAAGTATTTCATCGACTGTCAAAAGCAATATCTTTAATGGTGCAAAGTGAATGTAATGATGGCTAGATTTCAGCTCGCGCTTTAGAGCAACGGACACAGGTATGGCGGCCAGTAATACTCTTGTGCGCGCTCCTGACTTGCGATGCGTAAAAAAGTATGACAGGAAAGGTTCGTTTGATTTTCCGGCACCGGTGCAGAAAAGTAGAGGGCGGTGTACATTACGCCGTATCTCTATACATATACCGGAAGCATACCGCCCTACACTTTTCTGCACCCGTGCAGGAGGTGCATGTAATCGAACGAGCCTAAGATTGCATCCGGTTGCCATTGCTAATTATTTTGGGGTGAGGGGGAAAGTAGGGAGGGGGGGGGGGGGTGCGTTGGTCGCCGCTATCCTGGTATTCGTAACTCCAGCGAACCATAGAGGGCGCGCTGGTCAGGTAAAATGGCGGACGAAAGGAGGTTGTTTTCGTCGTTCAGCACGCAGACCACCATAAACTTTTTGCTCTGCAGCGTAAAATCGGTGTTACGTACGAAAGCAAAGCGATTTTTTGACGCTAGAAACCTTTTTCTAGTCAGTGCGTAGGAACGACACGGCGGAAGCATAACAATAATTACTGGAAACGATGTCTGTTTCTATGCTGCCGACGAGAACCAAGCGGCGATAGCAGACGACAGAGTCAAAACAACCTCCTCTTTTGAGCTTCTCGTCGTTGCCGCTACGTGGAGTCGGTTTTGCTAGAGTCGCGAATAAGTATCAGAGGTAGGGGCGGTAACATTGATGCTCATGCGGACTCTTGGGAGCAAGACCTTGCGTATGCGGTAACAACTGGGAATATGAAACATAGCTGGGGATCATAAGTCACATCTTGACAAGGCACGTTCCCTACTTCCATGAATTTATCTGTGCCGAGAGGGCATGCTCTGCAGAAAACAACGACAATATTTAATATACCCACCTAGAAAACTAGACAGAAAAATTGTCGTAGGCAAATCCCCGCGTCACCATAGATGACGAAGAACAGTCCCCCTATGTTCGTGAATGCTTTTAGCGGACGTGCTGCACTGAATGAATGTATTACATACAGTTTGAACCAGCGTCACCACATCTCAAGGGAACACTCCCTTCCCGCCTTCTAAAAATTCAAGATCTATCTCTTTTTTTTTCATGTGTCCGCGTTACTATTTATGCCGTGACCAGCGTAGCTTTTTTAAAGGCGTCATTGCCCTGGTGATTGCAGCCGTCTTTCGCATGGATGGTCATGGTTTGGTTTGGATTGGAATTTGGGCTCGTTTAGACTGGACTGAACTTGACTTGAGTAGACTGATTTTGTGATTTGTTTGTTCGCTCGTTACGAACACTTTCCCTCTTGCAAAAGGGAACCAGGCTTGTGGCACGCCTCCAATGACGCGCCGCGGGTGCGGGAAGGGGAGAAAGCTGTGGTGGCAGCATCCGAAACCGTTGACGCCGGGGAGAACAGACTGGATCTCCGAAGACAATAGTGAGCGGATCTTTGTGAGGCTGGAATTCACATCCTCCGCTGAGTGGAAAACCCTGCGCCGCTAAATGCTAACGCATTCCGCCGAGAACCAGCGTAGCGGTAGCAGCGATTTCGGCATCATTTTTTCTGATATTTTTTTTTACTTGTTGTAGCTTATAGCTATAGGGACGTTCGAGAAAGTATTTTGTTTTATTTTCACCTGTTCTAGCAGCGTTCTTTGGATGACATGCATGAACCTCGTTGTCGCTCTGGTGGCTCTTAGTGCCATGAAAGAAGCAAGCTAAAAGGAGAGCTCTCGGAGCGGCCGTTTGTGGGAATCCCGAAAAAACAAAAACCGGAAAAAAAACCCACAAAAAACGTTCCCTGGCTGGACAAACTTCTGGCGGATCCGAAAGGCGGTAGTAGTTCTTTCTGCGAGGAACACCGGAAATGGACGCCGAAATGGGGTCACAAATAACGATACGGCAGCATGCAGTTCGTTAGGCGACACCGGTTGGCCTCGGCGAGAGATGAATCTTCATCGACCCTGGCTGTCTGTCGTCCTTCTCTGGACCTCGGGGACTTCCAGAACATACGGTAAAAGCCCAAAAAACCAAAAAAGGCGGTAGGGGGAGGAAAATATCACTCTTCTTCTGCAGCGATGACCTCTCGTGCGAGGAGCTCGTAGTTGCACGGTGTACACATTGCTATAAATCAGTAACATTATTTGTATCTGTCGTCCAACTTCTTACTAAGCCGCGATCGCGCTGCATATGCATTAAAACCTCGTTACTTTGAAACCGAGGGGAACCAAGACATTGTTTGAATAATGCAAAGTTCGAATTACCGGGAGTTGCCTTCCTAGAAACAAAAAGGGCGGGGGGCCACACGTTTGTTCGAATTATCCGCTAGTTCGAATTATCGAGATTCCACTGTACATCATATAAAAGACCGTCGGCAGACACTGTCTGTGGGGTGTTTGTACCTTGTATGACGACCCCCGTCACACTGGGCGTACAATAACTGTTTGCAAACGTATTTGAAGCAGACATATATTTGAAGCGAACATGCTTGGAACGTATGTACATTGTGTACGCAGATAATTTTTTCGTCATGTCTCCAGCGAACACGTCTCTTTCTGTACAATGTATATGCAGAGGAACTGAGGCTCTAGCCGTAGTCCAACATCTCATATATCGTACAGACACGAGATACCGCAATATCCATGGTTCGTATGCCGCATGCCAAGATTCTCCTCAAACTCATTGCCGTGCGTCATTCAAAGCACGGATTTCGCGGCGACTCGCGATAGAATTTCTACGTAGACTGTCGTTTGTAAGGAGTGGGACTGTGACTTAAAGGAGCGGTGCACCGATATTCAATTGGAATATTTTTCACTTTACATGAGCTTACTGGCACTAGTGGGACTCAAGGATACTCGCACGCAAAACCACTCTCCAAGGAACTCTCTTGTTGCCATGTAATTTCAAAGACAAAAGCGATATTTTTCATTCAATCTCTCCTTTGCAAACTTTGATGACGTAACGTGGGGATCGCAGTACACCCCAATGACGATATTTGAATCCGGTTCATAAATTGGACCCGAGCATTGCGCGGGCACTCGATTTGGGGCTCGTGATAATTACTGGTTCGAGAAGCATTCGGGTAGTGGCCCGTCTCCAATCGCTGCAACGACGGCAATAGTCAAGCCATAACAATGTCTGGAACTCAGCGCGTGTCCTGTGCTTTGCCAACCCCAGCGCGTGGCCATGATCAACACTGGCGGCATATAATCGGCTCCAGATCACGTGGCCGCTTGCTCTGGTTGCGAGTTGAGGGGATGAACGCTGCTCGTTTTTCTTTAATTTTTACCTGGGACTTTTATTGCGTGGGGTGAAAAACGAGCGCGTGTTTCATAGGTCATTAACGCCAGGGATCCGTTCTAAGCGGTATTTGCGCAAAGTACAAACATTGTTGCATCACCCTTTTAAAGGGGTACGGAAGCGAAATGACGTAAGCGCGAGCGCTTTACCCTCCGCTTCAAAGTCGGCCAGCGAGAAGTGCAATGCGTATAGCGCTCGTGACGTCAAAGGTTCATGCACAGCCAAGGGTACTGCAGTTGTGAGCGTTGCCGCTTGATGGTGTCAACCCTTGACAATCTCGTCTAGTAGTAATAACAGAGGACTGTACGCCCAGAGGGCCTACACATAGCTTGCCCGTAACGCCACTCGCGGTCATGCCCCTATTTTATGTGCCACGAGTGTTTGGTTCACCGTGTAAGTTTCACACGTCAGAAATAGGAGCTCGAGAGAACCAATAGGTAGAAATAACCCGCAATACCCAACAATGGCGGCACCTGCAAGCTATATTTGTATATAAGTTATTCAGTGGGTGGCATGGTTTAGCGCGCTATTCACAGCGCATGCTGTGGGGGGGGGGGGGGGGGGGGGTATGTTGGCCTGGAAGAGGTCCCCCACATCCTCAGACAAAGCTCCTAACTAACATCTGCAAGGGACGACGACCTTGAGGGTGTTAAATGCACGTGGCGGAAGCGCTGTGGTAGCTTTGACTGACTTTAGCTTTGACCATAGCCTCCTCTATAGGGAGTATTCACTGGACGCCATATTTGTGGGTGCTGTTTAGAGCGCATGCTCAGAACGAGCTCACATCAATAGGCTGCTAAGACCGGCACTCTTGATGGTGC